AGCTCCGGGCGGCACTCGGCTCCCAAGGGAGCCACAAGGAGCCCCTTGTTGTCCCTGCGGAGGCCGCGGCTCCTCCCCAGCGCCGGGAGCCCCGGCCAAGGACGGAGCAGGGTGAGGGGAGCAGGGCAGGCCAGGCCAGCAGACGCGCTCGGTCTGGAAACGATGACAGCGCGGGGCTGCTGCTGGGCGTTCAGAATAACCCTGAAAGAGGCCATAGAGCAGTAACGTTCCCTGCTGAATCTCCTCGGACAGCAGCAGATGAGTCACGCTTGTTTGGAGACCGTATTTGGGGGGAACATGCAGAGCATTTTTAGTTGTTTGGGTTTCCTTTAAAGACATTTTGTTCTATGGATTTACTATTATTCTGGTGTCTGCTGTGTTGTCATATAAATAGGGGTCTAGCAGATTGTCATTCTCAGGGAAATTTTTCTGTAAATAATTCCTTGTTTTGGAACTGTTTTATTGTGGTGTTGGGGTGCAGGAGAAGGTGCCTTCCTGCCTGGCCGGGCTGGCGGGAGCGCTCGGATACGGAGCCGCGCGGGGGCCGGGCTCTGCGGCAGGGAGCGCGGGGGACCTGCTGCATCCGGAGGAATCCAGGGCACAGGAAGCGGAGGGCTCGGACGCGGTACCTGGAGGAGCAGGACCTGGAGGAATTCCCGCCCTCCCTCTCCGGGCTGGGCTCTGCAGCCCCTTGGACCGGAGCTGGTCACGTCTTTCCCAGATTAACCCGGCCAGATGCACGAGATGAGTTTAGGGCTCAGTTCTGTCCTCGTGAGCTCGGAGCTCGCTCTGATTTCTCAGACCAACAAGGGGCCTATTGAGAAACGCCAGCTTTGATTCCCCTTCTCTATTCCTGAGCTTCATTCTAAATATGCAGTGACTAATCCCTACAAGAAACCTGTTGGCATTAAATTGCTGTATTACATTTGCCAGCCACTTTGTTCACCAGATGGATTCTTGTAGATTAATGATGGGTATTAGTCATGGACCCTAGCAGAGAAATTAATTACTGTTAAGTAGCACAAGCAAAGGCCTATGACACCATGCCAGGCAAGTCTCATGGATGTAGGCTATTTTCTACTTCAACATACTTTACATATTAATTACGTTTGAATAGTACCTTACTAAAAGTAGCATCTCGGCTCCTGGCTATATTGTGGGGGGGACGGGGGGAAGGTTCTTATGCGGTTTATTTTTTGCACCAGGAGAAGCTGATGTGCCCTTGCAAAGGAAATGGTCTGTACCCCGAGCAAGAGCAGAAGTTGTGCTTGTCATTGCAGGAGCGAGCGAGCGCGCTGGATCGCGGTGCTGGGCAAGGGCCGGGAGCTGCACGAGACCGACCGGACAAGTAAGTCACAGCCGGGGAGACCGGAGAGCAGGAAAACGCCCTGTCCGAGACCCGAGCAAGGGGAGACCGTAAATAATCTGAAAAGAAAGGACATCTCTCGGTCTGGCCAACTGAACGTGTCGTCATCTGAGCGCAGGCGCTTTCCTGACGCAGCCTCGTGCGCGCAGGGATTTCAGATGCATTTTTTTTTAATCTGGGGCTTGGGGAATTTTTTCAACTTGATAACACAATTGGCAAAAACCACTCCTGTAACCTGGGTGAGCTGGTTGTGCTCACCTAGAAAGCCCTTTGCTGCCTCCGCCCCGAGTGCCTCGAGGCGAGTATCCCAACGTGGCCGTGGTGACAATAACAGCATGTGGGTGATTGATTGTTCTGGTGGTTAAGTAATGAGCTCGCTGTATGTGCTTTGGGTGACGCCGCCTGGCGCGTTGCCTCCCCAGCTCTGACTCAGGTGGAGATCGTCAGGACTTACACCGCAAAGCAGGCGGATGAGCTCTCGCTCCAGGTTGCTGATGTCGTTCTGGTTTATCAACAAGTAAACGATGGTGAGTGAACGTTTCCCTGGCACTAACGCGTCAGTCCTGCTGGGAGCTGCAGTGCAGTTCAGGGAATTAAGTTTCACTGGAAGAAAACTGTGGGTTCAGGCTTTAGAACAGCAGCCTTGACCCAGGCAAAAGATGGTTAAAGTAACTCATCATCTGTGAAAGCCTGGAGACAGGGTATGGATACATAATTGCAGAGGGAAATGATGCGCTGAGCTTTTGACATGTGAAATGTCCACAGCTAATACATGGAATTAAATCCTCCCTCCCAGCACAGATCTTGGAGACACGGTAATGAGAACCGTTTTTTTTTCTGAGCAACAGTAAATAGACATGCCTGTCTTTTGTCATGTTAGATTCTTGTTAAATTTTGACAATGCAGTTATTTAATAATTCATAAGAAATTGAGCTTTTCTGTTATGCCTGCATTGCTTTGGATTGCAGAAATAAATCACTTCAAATTTATCAACATATTTATTTTTATTCTAGTGTTCTTCCTCATATGTCTCTCAAAAAAAATCCTGCCAAATCTACTTTTATCTTTATATATATTTGTATTATTTTTTAAAGGTAAATGCATCCACTATATATGAGCATGTCATTTGTCTCTATATAAAGTGCAATACCATCTGAAAAAAAAAAAAAAGCCTTTGAAATGGTGTAAAGACGAGTTATTTCTTGTCTGTTTGTCATTACAGGTTGGTATGAAGGGCAGCGGCTGCGGGACGGCGAGCGAGGCTGGTTCCCAATGGAATGTGCCAAGGAGATCACCTGCCGTGCCACCCTCGACAAAAACATGGAGCGGATGGGACGGCTACTTGGACTTGAGACGAACGTTTAGACATTTTTTCCCCATCTTCCTCCTGTTCCCTTATTACAGGATTTGCACTAGCTGCTGCCCGTGGGCCCGGCTGCAGGCACCGCGGCAGCCGTGAGTCACGGCCGCACAACAGGGCTCTCCCACCCGGGAACTGGTGTTCCCGCTGCTGCGGTGCCGTTCTTGGAGCGCCGTCTGCGCTGACACCTGGCTCGAGCAGAACCGTCCACCTGGAAGCAGGTTCTTGGTGTTGGAGGGCGGCCACGTGTTCTTCTGCCTTCACTTCCCTTTCAACTTGGGCTGCGTTTCTCCAGCCCTTCGTTAATTTATTTCAGGCTCCGTGTGCGCTGTGTCCTGTTCAGGCTGAGCGCCGCCGCTCGCTGCGTGCGGGTGAGCAGCACCCCGGGCCGGGGCCTTCCTTCTGCTCCCGCCCGGCAGCCCGTGCCCCTCCTGCGGGAGCCCTGGCCCTGCTCGGATGCTGCTAGAAAGGGGCCCCTCCAGGGACCCCTTGTCCTTCCAGCTGCTTCCAGCTCTCAGGCCCTGCTTTGCAGAGCAGTTGCTTTGCCAGGGGCATGGGGGAGGTCATTGTTTTCAGATTTAGGGCCATAGTCTTGATTCTCACCAAGCCTTTCCAAACTGCAGCAAATACCCATGTGCAGAACAGCTAAAAGAGGTTTTCAGACTAGTTTCAACTTAATCTTAGCTGCTACCCCGGTCTGGGTCAGCATGTGGATGTCTGAATGCAGCCTGTGCCTGCTGGCAGTAAGTCCACCCAGGTTCAGTTTTCCCTGCATCTTGAAGTCCTAGTTAAACTTACTGCCTTATTAACGTTCTTGCTATGACAACTCCAGCAACGCTGCAGTCTGGGGGACATGGGGTGGGTTTTGCTTTTAACCTGCTGCTCCAGAAGAGCAGAGGAGAGAGAGGGTCCTTCTGTGGAGACAGGAGTTCCACTGAGCTCCAGCTCCGGCACGGTGAAGGCCCAGGAGGCAGGTGAGGGCTGGAGGGATGTTCTGGGGCTGCTGGGTCTTGAGAGATGAGGCGAGATGGGGACGCAGAGCCCTCAGCACCGTGAGCAACCCGGTAGTTTTTGCTCTCTCTGCTGCTTCTCCAGCACCGTGACAAGGGCAGGGGCTGCTTCGGGCATGGGCCAAGGAGGGCAGGAGAAAATAATAAAAACATCCTTGGGCCTGGGGCTGCCCCGCACGGCTCCTCTGGCCCCGAAGCGCCAGCCCCGTGGCGCTACCCCGCACGGAGCCGCCCGGCCGCCCCTCAGCTTTGGGATGGCACCGGGAGAACAACCACCTCACGGGGTGTGATGAACCGCGCGCGAGAGGCGACGTACGCACCAGGGCATCGTTTCTGTGTAGAGAAGTGTGACAATGCGCCTGCTGCTTTGTAATAATTTTCCTCCCTTTAAGGACCAGCTGATATCTCAGTAGGGTTGAGCACATGTTAAATAAAAAAACAAGGCAAAAAAAATAAGGTAAAAACGTGTACAAAGGCTGCGTTTTTGTCACAACAAAAAGAGTGTATTTTTTACGGGGGGGGGTCTTGTTTTATATTCTGTAATATTTTGGATATTTGATTTGTGAATGAATTTGATGTTAATAAATTTCTAACAATTAAAACTATACTAGGAAAGCAGTAATTTTGTACAAAAATACTTACCTTTTCAGTCTGACAAGTGGTTATACAGCCTTAAAAATTAATTTATATACATGGACTGATGAAACAGTAAAAGCTACAACCTGTAAATTAAAGTCTTATTTAACATAGTAAAAATGCTAATATTTTTAACAAATTGTACTGCCTACAGGCAGATTTTTAACACATTATTGAATGTACAAATGCAGCCATTAATTATATTCAGATTTTTTAATACATTGTATATATTTTTCATACCTAGTTTTTCCAGAAATGCTGTAGTGGTTTTTAAAGCTATTTTTCATGTTTTCCTGTTCCCAGACACAGCTTTTGATGAATTAAAAAGACATCTGTGGTTTTTATAGGACAACAATCAATAAAATGCTTTTAAATTCTCACTAACAAAGTCTCAGTTTTTCTTCAGTGACCACCAGTTCACTACACCTCGCTAATGTCATTCCTGTCACTAACATGAAGTTGTTCTTGGGGCTGGAGGGGCAGTGATGGATTCCTGGGCTCTAGAGCCAACGAGCAGCCCCTGGGCCCCGTTTCGTGCCCCCTCCTGCCCCACGCGGCCGGGGAGGGAAGAGCTTCCCTGGGGCGCCCTGCAGCCCTTGGGAAGCAGGGGGAGAGGAGGGAGAGGGGCTGCCGCCCTCCCGCGCCCCGGCCGGCCCCGAGCACCCACCCCCGGGGCTGCTCCCTGCCCTGCGCCAGCGCCGCGCGGCCGGGACGGGCTCCTTGAACGGGACACCCGGGTGGAGCAGCCACGGGGAAAGGGCAAGGGCAGAATTCAGCTCTTGTGCTAAACAAGACTGCTAGATAAACTGCAGTTTGCTAGAAAATACTATTTGCTAGATAAAGTACAATAGCTGTAGGAAGACTAACACATTACAGCAATGTGTAGCTGAATATATATGTGTGTATATGTGTGTGTGTATATATATATATATGTGTGTGTGTGTGTGTGTGCATATGTATATACGCAGGAAG